AGTGAAAATTTACAGACGCGTCAGCTTCTAATTTGGATAACTAGAAGCAGGGGCGACTCTAAATTTTGTTAGGGGCAGGCTCCCGTAGGTTTGGCACTTGGAAACATTCAAATGTTTTCATATAAAAAATTAGCTGCGCAGTGTTTTCTTAAACTTTAAGAAATATAACTCAGCACTCACTGCAGTGAGTGACAGAGAGCGCATTTTCTGGTCGACGAAACGTGAAGTCACGGACAGACGGACGGACATGACTAGCCAATAGCGCCTTTTTTCCATAAATGAGAAAATGCGCTATAAAGTACTAGCTTGCGAGACAGTTCACGTAAGTCGATACTAAGAGATATATACTGATATGTGCGCTAAGTCGTTAAATCCGAAGATAAATTCGCTCTAGATTATTTGGTATAGAAATTTTAGCTAAATTTAAAGCCGAAGGAGATTAAGCACGTCAATTCATCAAGTTAATATATTTATTGATAATAAAGGCATAGCGTACAAAGCACAGCACTTAATTAATATCAATGACACCAGCCGCATCTGTCTCGTTTTTTTTTTGCAGATTGACAGCTCACTAAAAGACGTATTCAATTCGAGACACAGCAAAAAAACATTATAGTTTATTGAATTTACACTTTTATAACGTATTTTTAATGAAAGCACGTACTCGTAGATGGGAAATTTAAAGTTTCCAGGACGAGAAAACATAATTAAAACCATTGCGCATTGCACCAACACAAACACTATAGACAGCGTAAGACCTGCATGCTTAAAAGAATTTATGGCACTTCACAAACGCCTTTTCTTAGCAAAATCATCAAATTTCAACACAAATGAAGAATGTTTCGACAAAAATTCAAATCCAATTAATATAAATAATACAAATACAAACAGTAGCATTTGATGACATTTACTGCGCGATGGAGACTTAATTTTTTTTATGGCTAGAGCACGATAAGCTAAATTTAGGTAAAGGTTTCAGAAACATTTTATAAACCGCTCTATTGAGCGTAAATTGAAAAACGACACAATTATTCACAGTTTCTTAGCAGTCGACGAAGAAACTGAAAGCAACTGAAAGAAACGACGAAGAAACTGAAAGCAGCGTTCGCCGATACAGAGTCGGGCGCATTTTCGACATTTATACACGATTATTTTTCCGTTACAGAAAAGATCTTAGGAATACCACTCAGAGGCACAGTGTGATGCCTACATTTAGTTTAAGACATCAAGCCACAATTTAATTAATAAACTAAGCCAAATTAGCACCCAGGGGCCATACTTTCAAAACTCGCTAAGTGAACGTAAGTACTTACGCTCTATTTTCTTGTCTATGATTGGTGGATTTTGCTTGAATGTGCTAGCCCCCACAAGGCACGTTATACATAAGTTTAATAGCAAGCAAAAATAAAAAGACACGAGAAGTGATGAGATATAAATCACTAAGCATGAGATTCATAGGCTCTATGAAATGGTTCAGTCTCTCTCAATTCAAGTTAATTTAACCGAATTAATTATATAATTTTTCTTAAAGGTTCGCATAAAGAAAATTAGTGCCTTGCAGACTAAAAAAGATTCATCCACTTATCCCAGACTATCTGTTGCGCTGAAGAGTATGATTCATATTGTGTGCAAGACAGTTGTGAAAATAATTACTAGTCAGTTTTACATTATTTACTTCATGATTAACTTATTTAAAAATACATTAGAGTCGCAATTATTCTGATAGCTTTTTTTGTTACACAACTTTATTATTGAAAATTCATTCACTTTATTTTCAATTATGCTTCTTTAGTTCTAATACCATTTACTAAGTATAATTGTCAGATTTAAAGGGAGTTTTTCTTCATATTGTTACATACTTTAATTTACAATTAGTTTCAGTAAGATGCTCATCATTCAATCATCAGTTGGATAGTCCTCTTCGTCCCGCCACATGCTGACTTGCTCGTCCTCCATCTTTCGTGCTTCTTCTTGAATCTCTCTTTGCCTCTCTTTTTTTTCGAGTTCTTTAATTCGTGCTCTCAGACTCTTCTCTCCTGTTCCTTTCATTACTTCCTTTTTGATGTTGGTATCTAATTTCTTTAGCTGCATTATATCGTCCATCAAGTCCATAATTCTGCGTTCGGTCTACAGGCATACCAGTTCTAGTTTCAGTTCATTATTTGTTGCTGCTCTCGACACTTCCAGCCCTTCATCCTCCCATAATTATAAATATTCACGTGCCCGCTTAGGGGTGTAGCTCAGAATGTGTCTGGCTCGCTGCAATCCTTTTGTTCTCAGTTCAGCTAGCTCAGACGCGAACTTTTTGTCATCACGTTCGATTCTTCTTAAGCGAGTCACGCGACTTAAACTGGTGGCACTTGAACCGCTGCTGCCGCTGCTCAAGCTCAAGCTTTCGCTTGAGCTTGATTGTTCCTGTCGTGCTACCATGCACGTTGGAATGCAAGAAGAGCTTGAAGATTTTTGGGTCTTGGATGAGCTTGAGCTGCGTTTTGCCGAACTNAAAATTTTTCAATATAAACAAATTTTGGGGCAATAATTCACAAGTTACATTGAATTTTGAAATTCATGTGCAATAAATAATTCCAACAGAGATTAGTTACAAGTTTTGAACCAATAATTTTATGCCTTTAGTTAAATTAGACATATTATAAAACTCGAGCCTTTAACGAAACCAATTAACAACAAAACTTTCAGATCATAAGAATTTCTAACGTTAAATTTATTTACAAACCATATTAAAATTGACCTAAATTGTGAAAATAGGTGAACTTAAAAAGTGTTTGCATTAACAGTGTAAGCCTAACATTGATTCGACCACAAAATTGCTTCTCAAACTTATCAAGTTCACCACAAGCGGTCAAAACGACATCATAAGAGTATTATCGAGTCGACATTTAATGCGTACACGTATGACTAGTCGTAATCTGTACAAAATACTCGGCCAGAACACACATTCGTGAACAATAATAAAGCAATCAAGTTCACTAAGTTTCACTTCACTCAAACTTATGTTCAATTGGTAGGTTCCAGCATTCGACATTGAAGGACAATTTTTAGAGTTAGTGACCACTGATCAATAGATTAAATTACAAATTATATTTATTTCTTTATAATTAATTTTTTTTAAATTTAATTTGATAGCCGATAGATTAAATTTATAATAGAGAAGTTATTAGTACAATATGTTCAATTCCACTCTATATGCACGACTTATTTAAATATTAGTTGCTACAATTACGAATTCTTTTAACTCACGTGAACGTCGTTCGGCGCTTTGTCTGACTAAAATTATCATCACAAAACTTGTGTCATAAAATAAGTGTTCTGCTTTAGAGGATAAGATCAATTTGTTAGAAAAATGACCGTTAACGGTATTACCGGCGTTTCAGTGGCCGGTCGGCACGTGAAAAGAAACACCGTGTCGCCGTTTTTATTCCAATTTAACACTAGAAATCCGTAAAACATCTGATAAAAACGGCGAAACAATTTATTTTCACGGGGCGACCGGCCACTAGGATGCCGGTGGGACCGTTTTTTCACCGTTTTTTCTAACAGTGCAGTTTGAGAGAAGTATATGAGTACAGAATTTGTCTTCGCAATTAAAAGGAACCCGTGACAATGAAGGTAATTTGATCACACAAATGACACGACAGACGCACAAAGTAGAAAACTGTATATTGAGTAGATCTAATGAAAGACGTCATTTATGGAGCTGTAGAGATCGCCTTTAAAATATAAATATAAACGAAATGAGAGCCGGATTTATAGCAATTTCATTTTATTTAAGTTCGAGAAACGAGAATTTAATTCAAACATATAGAAGCGCCGAGAATTATTAAGATAATAGAATTGATTTATTGATTGATTTCTTAAATAATCGGTTTCAAATCGATCAGTTGTAACTCCTCTGGTAGCCAATGGTGAGCAAAGGACCAGAAGAGAAATCCAGGACCAGAAGAGAAAATCTAATAAAAAGTTCGAAAATGTCTCATCCTAAACAAAGAAATTACGACGAGCCCTTTACCCTTGAAGAATAAAAGGTTTTTAGCAAGTAACCCTTTCGCCTGATGCATGGTAATAATACAGCAGGGGCCATACTTTCAAAACTCGCTAAGTGAACGTAAGTACTTACGCTCTATTTTCTTGTCTATGATTGGTGGATTTTGCTTGAAAGGCCGTCAATGATTTGCTGACGAACTTACGATCAAAGTATAGGCCCAGGTTGCCACGCAATAGGAAGGCGGGCAGTCGCAACTTCACAACATCTCAGGCTTCATGGCACACAAATGAAGCTACCATACGCAGGCAAGCATCTAATTATGTACACGATTAGCAACAGTAGGAACTTGGTGAGTCGTCCGTAATAATATAAATCTAAATTAAGCAAGAGAGAAGAAGCTGTACAGCAAAAATGTTATTGTTTTATAGCCAAAAATTTAGTGCATCACAGAAATTTGTCGTTCGAATACAATTGAGTTTTAAATGTAGCTATACTATAGCCAAAAAATTTAGTGCATCCTAGAAATTTGTCGTTCGAATACAATTGAGTTTTAAATGTAGATACAAAATGAAGAGTGATAGATCGACACTATATATATAGCGACAACTGGGCATTCATCACTAGTGACGGATCGCCACTAGTAATAACTAGCTATTAATTATGGCATGAGTAATCATTATTAGAGGACATAATATTGATCATTACAATTCCGCTCAGTCGCAATTTTTTAATAACTAGCTATTAATTATGGCAGCAGTAATCATTATTAGAGGACATAATATTGATCATTACAATTCCGCTCAGTCGCAATTTTCAATGGCAATCTGTTTCCATTAAATTGAAACGAATATTTAGATATAAAAAGAATAGATAGTTAAAATATTAATTAATAATTACTAAGTACAAAGATAAAAGCGATGCTTGTCATAAAGGGACCATAAAGAAAAGGGCGCAGGGATGGGTCAGTTCCATAAAACTTGGTCCATGTTATTAGTAATTAACTAAATAACTGACATAATAGACAATTTGAGGTGAATATTTACACTATAACAATGTATTCAAATGCTCCAGAAATAATACAGCAATTGCAGATTAACAAACTCCAACGGCTATAAAAATGCCGCGAAATAAATGTTTGTTCCCTTTTCATCGGAGAATTTCAGGGTGTCCACTACATTTCGATGATTCTGATGCGTATGGTTGGAAAAAAGTTAGTTGCAGACTTGACTCTGTAACGGCTTAGGATTTTATTATTATATGTTTATTATATATAATAGATTTTATTATTATATATATATAATATTTACACAATGAAATCTCTTAAACTAGTGCCAATTTCTGCCACAATGTGACAATTTACAAGAAATTATTCGTGATTGCCGAATATCAAGCACATGCTTAGGGAATCACTAAGAATCATCATCATGAAACAAAGCGATAAATCTATTAGAGCATGTAACGACATCAGCGCCGAGAGATTTTGCCGGCAATGACGTTAGTGTCAACGAAGTTGTGTTGAAACTGCCATCAGATTTTGCCGGCAATGACGTTAGCGTCAACGAAGTTGTGTTGAAAACTGCCATGACTTCGGGCTGTGTTTCTCAATCGACTAGTTCAATCTTGATGACTCGCTCCTTCTGTGGTAGAAAAGAGTGAATTAATAAACGAATAAAATTGTATAATAAATGAATAAAAAAAAATAAATAAAATTTTATCCTAATAAATAATGAATAAAATATCATTAATAGATACAAATAATAAATTAATTAACGGATTAAAGTATTACAACTTCAGTCACTCATTTAGGCAAGTTGAATAAGAAGGTTGCATGACGTAAAAGATTTGATTATATCTACTTTTTATGCACATACTAAATATGCATGAATGTGTGAATGTGTGGGTTCACTAGCGCGGTTGAAAAGCAGACGATATCTTCACCAGAAACTTACCTCACAGGCACAATATAAAACACTTGCATTAAACACCAATATTACAATACAAAAATAAAAAGTATGAACCTATATTAAACTATTACAATACATACACTATCATAAGAATTTGTGTTACAAGCGCACGTTTTTTTTATCTATGCACTTTCGACTGAGAATGCGGAAATACATTTTCGATTTATTATTCATTTTTCGGTCTTGTTTGCACAAAATTTCTAACTGAAATTGTTATAGGCTCAAGTTTATTAAATAAGTCAGTCCGATACGCATCAAAAAATCATCCGCAAAACAATTCCGAGTCATTCCAAGTTTTCATTATCCTCGAGCTGATTTTTATTTGCTAATTCTTCAGTCGAATCTAACCATCGTAATTCGTGCACTCATGTCATTAAAAATAACAATTTTTTATAGAAAACAAAGTTGTGTTAAATCAAAACGATTTATAGACAAATCAAGTGTTATTTCAAAACTTTTTTGATCTACCAAAAAAATTTCAAAATTTAAATTTTTTCAAAATTGATCTACCAAAGCCAGGACATTATTTTCCATAAACGTATAAAATTAATTATCTTTTATTCTATAGGAGTACTAGCTATATTAGTTAGTACTCTTAATTATAACTAACTTGGCCTAGCTAATCGAACATCACAAAATATTGCATGTATATGCTGCGTAGAATTTAACAACGTGAATCCATTAAATGTTCGAGGTTTCTTTGGAGACAAATGTTGGTTTCGGAGAAAATATGTAAAGAATTTCTTAATCTTTAAGGAAACATTTTAAGGCAAAAATAACGGAAAAATATAACTCAGTACTCACTGCAGTGAGTGACAGAGAGAGCATTTTCTCGTCGACGAAAACTTGAGGTCACGGACAGACGGTCGGACAGACGGACGGACATGGCGAGCACAATAGTGCATTTTTTCCATAAATGAGAAAATGCGGTAAAAAGCGCATCTGATAAAGCCTCAAGCTAACATTTCAAGGACCAACGAGCGTAGGAACGAAGAGCATGTCCGGCAGTTTGGGTGTCCGGTGTTTAGACAACTCGGATTGCCAGGTAAACCCGGAACAACGCCGCTGCCTTCAGCGAATGAATCACAGCACGAGAGCGAGTAAAGCGAGCTACGCATTGTGAAAAAATCTCGATTGATATCTTGCAAAATATAGGCTGAAAATAGGAACTAACACACTAGACTCTTCAATTACTCGCATAGAGCAAACAAACCTTATTTTAGTACAGTTGTCTTCAATAAAACATTAAATAAACATCCTTAAAACAACATACTGCCTCGTTGCTAAAATGTTTCTCCTGCCTTCCTGCTAAAAAGTTGCATCCACGATTTTTTCTGATGAAAAGTTTAGTTTGTCAACCCCGTTACTGAATATTGCCCCCCACTCAGACATTTGTGGACACAATAAAATGCAACCGATCCTCATTTCTCTATTATTATCATAGTTCATTTCTTTCGTTTCAGCTACATAATAATAATTCCTCAAGATAATTTAAATTAAATAAAATTAAAGTCACCTTTTTCGGGACATATATGGTGAGAATGCCGTCCTCTGAGAGCGCCGAGTCGATGTCCTCCTCCTTAGAGTTCTGCGGGATGCTGAAGGTGCGATGGAAGGTCCGCACTGCAGACTGGCCCTCCCCCTCCTGGGTCTCTACGCTGCCCTTCACAGTCAAGACCTTGTCGTCCTGCAGTACCTCCACCTCTCCAGACACGAACTCTGCCACGTCCAGCACCATCTGCAACACGTTGTTTATTAAGAACTGAACAGTAAATATTAAAAAAAGACAGAACCTCTGGCGGAATTCAATAAGTAATTTAAATTGTTAAATAAAACGTCCAGCACTATCTGCGACACGTTGTTTATTAAGAACTGGGCATACACTTTCAAAAAAAGTTAAGAGATCGTAAGTTCATCAGCCAATCATTGACGGCCTTTCAAGCAAAATCCACCAATCATAGACAAGAAAATAGAGCGTAAGTGCTTACGTTCACTTAGCGAATTTTGAAATTATAGGCCCTGAACAGTAAATATGATGGAGACATCGTTTATTAAGAGTTGAACAGTAAATATGATGGAGACATCGTTTATTAAGAACTGAACAGTAAATATGATATATGATGGAGACATCGTTTATTAAGAGTTGAACAGTAAATATGACGGAGACATCGTTTATTAAGAGTTGAACAGTATATATGATGGAGACATCGTTTATTAAGAGTTGAACAGTAAATATGATGGAGACAGCGTTTATTAAGAGTTGAACAGCAAGTATGATGGAGACAGAAGCTCTAGCGGCAATTCAATAAATAATTTAAATTATTCAATAAAGATAGAATTAGCAGGCAATTCATTAAGCAGGGTAGTTGTGAATTAATTATGCAATAAGCATAAAATTAGCATAACAATTTGACCATCTATACCAGCCCACTTGATGAGATCATTATTGGCAGTTACTTTAACAATGAATATGGGAATATCAGTGCAACTGAGACAGCAGGTCGAATTCTATTAGCATTACAATGACCTAAATACATTAAGAACCCAATGCAATAGCATAGTCCGTTGCAATGCAATGGTGTTTACCCACTTGCGTAGGAGTATATAGTGTGAAATTATATCAATATCTCGGTTAACTTTGTAGCATCTTAATTCTTTGAAAAGCGCTAACTTTGCATCTGCTTTTCCGTTGATAGATTGAATCTTGCAATGGAACATGAGTATTAAAACTTTCAGTGGCATCATTTTAAAACTTCCGACGAGGGCAATTGAAAAAGAGTAATCATGTAAAAACATTTCTACATGAAAACCATAACATTACTGTGGTATCATAGAAGCAGACAGAGACTTATAGTATTTCGTAAGCCATGATTTCAAGCCTTCACCACGAATGTATTTTTAGTGCATTTTCTCATTTATGGAAAAAAGGCGCTATGGGCTCGCCATGTCCGTCCGTCCGTCTGTATCTCTGTCCGTCCGTGACTTCACGTTTTCGTCGACGAGAAAATGCGCTCTCTGTCACTCACTGCAGTGAGTAGAGTTATATTTTTGAACAGTAGGTCAAATTGCGTCGCTAGCACGTGGCCTTTCCCAGGGCGTGTGACCTGAAGCGTCCCTAACCCCTATTTGCGAAGAAAAGTTTTCCTGCTATGAATAGTGATTCTAAGAAAAGGATCACAAATAGCCACACAAACCAGTCCATGAATTCTTTTGGAACTGGAGTAACAAAAATGTCCAATAAACACAAAAGGCGAAAAAATAACATGTGCGCCGAGAAGTGAGTGAAAAAATCAAACAGCCTAAATATAAAAAAGTACTAATTGGTGAAACGCCCCACACGCAAACAGCGTTGAAACTCCGCGAATACAAGCAAACAAATACAAAAAATATAACTCAGTACTCACTGCAGTGAGTGACAGAGAGCGCATTTTCTCGTCGACGAAAACTTGAGGTCACGGACGGACGGACAGACAGACAGACAGACAGACAGACAGACAGACAGCCGGACATGGCGAGAACAATAGTGCATTTTTTCCATAAATGAGAAAATGCGCTAAAAATAAAGCGAATACGAAAACAAATTTCATTGTGGAGAAGAATTGCATACTCTGTGAATGTTGCGACGCAAGCAGCAGACACATTGAGCACACATAGATGCCTTTTCTGTTGGCCATTATTGTTCCAAGAACTGTGATATTTTTCTTTAGAAACCATTCACAGGGTTCTATATTTGTATATAATCGGTCCATGGTGATGTTTATTCCTTTCAAGCTGGAATACCTTTCCAGTTCTTCAATCAATTTCATCACGATTGGTGAAGTTCACATGCAGCGTGCACAGTACTGCAAGTTGTACACCCACAGACGACGCATATAAGGCAGGACGCGTGGGCGCCCCAACGCTGAGCAGGCGATAGACATGCGCTGTCGTCGTGTTCGTACATGTCATCAGTAAATTACCACGTTAACATGTGATACTCGTTTGGAATCATTGTTTAAACTAATTAAATGAAGATATGCGAGTTGATAAGAAGTCATTCTATTTATCAAGAATTCACAGTTGATCAATTCTCATGAGTCACAGCTGATCAACTGGTGAGTCATCAGTTGATCAACTGTTAAAACATGTGTCATTCTTAAGAGGGCAAACAGAAATATTTTTAATCATCAAATGTAAGGCTGAAAGTTCCCTCGCGTTCAGTGCTCGCCTCGCACACAACCAAATTCTCAGGATTGTACGACGGAGCCTGGGTACATGATTAGGAAAAATAAAGAATGTTGATCACGTAAGCAACTGAACGTGCAGCTTAGAGTTATAGGTGAAAGTAATAAGTTATGAAGTAAATTATTCACTTCTATTATTTTTAACACATATATTTCCTCCCCATAAGTCAGGAAATTAAAAAGACGAAGACACTTCCCAGACTTGATAAACCTTCCACCAATTCATGCAAGCGTTCAACCTTACCCTTCACTGAGGGTCTGAGGCACAGTCGTGACGCAACCAATTAATAAGAACAAGAAACTAGTTCATTATTTTAATATGCAAGATAAGACACAATTGCAATTTCGCGATAATTCAATGATGTTTATACATGTATTCATTACATTTTCCATTTCAAAGGAAACATGAAAAAATCTAATCGATACCGACTCAGTTGCTTCAGTTCTCAGTTATATAGATCTTTCCGTGACCGCATGAACAAATTTCATCATATTTTTAAAACCCGAATTATATTCTGCACCCGAATTATATACCATTCAGATGATGTAATTAAATTCACCTGATTATCTGGCTGACGATAACGAGCTATAGGTAACAATTACCTATACTGACTTGAGACAGTTATAGCGCAAAAGATTTAATAGTGGACATCTGCAGATATAGGAAGAAATACATATAATTTGTGTTGGTGATCTTCACAACTCTAACGATTGGCTCGGCGCCAATCATTTTAACAAACACACTGGCCAGTGAGGAAAAAAAAGCTCAAAACAATTCATAAAAAATCGATCATCATAAATTTGTGTGACTTCAACCAAGCATTCTCATTGAATGCTTGATAACCACCTTCCAAAATTTTAATCTGCGAGCATCATAACTTTATTCTTTTGAAATATAATTGCGCGGTCATCGGTATGATAATCTTTTCAGGAAATAGATATTCGTAGGGAATATTGTCAACATTCATATTCATTTAAGAAAACAAATATCCATACATTTGCTTTACATCTCCTAGAAAACATCTCCTAGAAAATGAAATAAATAAGTTTATTATATTGCTATGGTAATATTTTGTAATGGCCTAATCAGCATGGTGATAAACTAAAACTTTTTAGAATCAGTTCCCTTTTGATTTATCATTTACTCGAGATTTAATCAAATTTTTTATGTATGATAATGCCGGTATGTGGTATCCATGATAGTGCTGATACTTTGCGTTTGCTGGTCCACTTATAATTATAGTACACAAAAATGAACTTGAGGGAGAGTCTAAAAACTCTCTGCTTTGCCACTATGGGCCCTAATGGACAAATGTGCACGGTAGTAAGCGAAGGCTACGGTCATGAAAAATTTGGTAATGGACTAATGGACTAATGTGCACGGTAGTAAGCGAAGGCTACGGTCATGAAAAATTTCGTAATGGACTAATGGACTAATGTGCACGGTAGTAAGCGAAGGCTACGGCCATGAAAAATTTCGTAATGGACTAATGGACAAATGTGCACGGTAGTAAGCGAAGGCTACGGTCATGAAAAATTTCGTAATGGATGGACAAATGTGCACGGTAGTAAGCGAAGGCTACTCGTTCTCAGAATAGGTTACAGGAAATGCCTGACAGGCAATCTGTTCGCTAGGCTACACCCATGCATGAAGCAGGCCGTTGTGTTGACTACAACAATTTTATTTACCAGGCATGCAAAGAATGCGAATATTGGCGCTATCTTTGAATTATTTCCATGAGCATTAGCCAGTACTTGGACTTCCGCATGAAAACAGTACAAAAACAAAGAAAAAAATATTGAATACCAAGTTAAATCCTTAGACGCTTGCTCAAGTGTTAACTGACAAGAAACAATATAACTGAGTACTCACTGCAGTGAGTGACAGAAAGCGCATTTTCTCGTCGGCGAAAACTTGAGGTCACGGACGGACGGACAGACAGACAGACTGACACGGCGAGCACAATAGTGCATTTTTTCCATAAATGAGAAAATGCGCTAAAAATAACGCTAGTATTAATTATTTCTAAAATTTCATTCTCATTGAAAATTTGACGTCGAAGAAATCGCATTTAGGAATTCAACCGGTGGTGTTCTGGGCCTATACTTTCAAAAAAGTTAAGAGATCGTAAGTTCATCAGCCAATCATTGACGGCCTTTCAAGCAAAATCCACCAATCACAGACAAGAAAATAGAGCGTAAGTACTTATGTTCACTTAGCGAGTTTTGAAAGTATGGCCCCTGAGCAACTATTCTTGATCATTAAGGCTGAGCTGAGGTTCTTCATGCAGCAACATCGCACCTTCGGTCGAGTTTATTTTCAGGGACACGAGTACACTCGCGGGTCATGGAGTAAGAAATAGTCTGGAGGGAGTCTGAGAAATAGTCGAGGGGAAATAGTCTGGAGTTCAGGACCTATACTTTCAAAATTCGCTACGTGAACGTAAATACTTACGCTCTATTTTCTTGTCTATGATTGGTGGATTTTGCTTGAAAGGCCGTCAATGATTGGCTGATGAACTTACGATCTCTTTAACTTTTTTGAAAGTATAGACCCAGACCATCAATTAACTTGATGTAGAAACGAAAATTGACGAATGGAAGATTAATTGTTACAGATCGCTACCGCGAGAAGACGAATAATAAGTATCTGAATTTGTGAGCTATATATAGGTCAGTTTTGAATTTACTGATTTACCATCTGAGTATCCATCTGAGGATACCATTTCCGAGGATACCATTTCCATCACCAGAGGATACCATTACCATTTACCATCTGAGTTTACCATCTGAGATGGTAAATCAGCGGATTCAATTGTAGACAAGGATATATATAGTTAGAACAAAAAGCATGTAATTTATTGACGAGACTGCTGTCATATTACAGATAAAGATTGCGCTAGGAGCTTTGTAGCATAAAATGCTGAACCAAAGAAACGCCGAAAATAGAAATTTCTCTTCAACTTTTATAGATTTTTGCCTAACAAGACTGTTTCTAAATCAAGGTACATTTCACTTTGAGCAGATTTATAAATTTTAGCGAACTGATAGAGATTATTGAATTGAAGTCAGAACTGATGCCTTGATGTATATAATGATGAAGCATGCTGACGCTTAAAGTTCTATATTCGTGGATCTATTTCACAAAAGCGTAACAGAGTCTCTACTGAAGCTGGACCAAAAAAGATAAACTAAAATGATTTTTCAAATAAAAAAAGTGAACATTGATATTGCTTTGTTGAGAGGTTTGAGTGGAAATTAGGACGGCATGCAACTGCATCGATATCTTTAAACAAACTTCACAATATGTTGAGATAGACAAACGTCAAGGAGCGCGATCATGCGTAAAACATGTTTGACCAACATGCAGTTAACGGAAATTCGATAATTTATCATTCTGAAAGGTATACTGATAAACAATAGGCCTTCCAATCTGCATGACATCGCACAACCCAGATGGCGACTTAGAATAGAATAGAAGTGTCGGCGTTGAAGAAATAGGCCCATGGCCTGTTGCCGATTCTTGAACTTTTCGTGACTTGATTCACTATAGGGATCCGGCCTTTGGAACCCGATCTTTCCATAACTGACGATTGATTGAGATAGCTGCTGGACTTATTGCCTGGTCCGTAATTAAACTTAGCCTCGCCAAACATTAGAAAGCATCTTAACATCCTCGACCCCGTAGAGATTGTCCAATTGATTTGATATTGATTAGTGACTAATGAAGAATGAAATTAATAATTGAAAGCTTTATACTAACATTTGATCCACAGTAAAATTTGAAGCAGAAAGATTCTCAAATAATAACGAACCTTCTAAACATCAAAATGATTTTATTTTGAAGGTTAATTATTTGAAGTCACCACCACAAGTCAAAAGAAGCACTCGGGACAACTTTCAATGGCACAGTCGTTATGAAACAAGTTAATCGAAACTAAATAAATTATTTCCCCGCTACGTATGAGGTAAATTTGGGGTCAAAGGTCACTGTTTCCGGGGTGAGAAAAACTCATTCGCAAAAAGTAGCACGAAAACATAACCATCGCACAGATTTCAGAGAACCCGTTTTAATAATTTAGAGCTGAATCATTACACCACAGAACTTTACCAATAAATAAGAATATTTTGACACTAGCTTTTCTTTAAAATGAAATGAATGGCTGTCAACATCAGACTTATTCTACGCGAGAAAGTCAAACATGGGCCTAAGGGAAGCTTTGCTAAAGGATTCACCGCATTTTACCGAAGCCTCGCTGACGCGCCGTCAAACAGACGCGCGCGAGGGCGCTACCCTAACAAAATTTAGAGTCGCCCCAGCTTCTGCTAATCCAAATCAGAAGCTGCCGCGTCTGTAAATTTTGTCTGTAAATTTTCACTGGGTAACAAAATTTAGCGTCGCCCCAGCTTCTGGTAATCCAAATCAGAAGCTGCCGTGTCTGTAAATTTTCACTGGGTAGTCTGTTTGACGCGCGCGTCTTTCATCCTTTGCTTTGTTTACGTCGGCGCTCATACGGCGCGCGTGCGCACAGTTCGAGCGTCGCAAACACCTCGTCGTCGGCTCAAGCACGACCATCGATCACTGAACTTATAACAAACTGAATTTTTACTAAAAAAATTTGTCACCCAAAAGGCAATCTGTTTCTTTAAAGCAGAACTTCTTCAATGCTTGTAGCATGTATTTGCAGGCACGTACAAAGTGGAAATAATAAATCTTTTAAGAGAAGACTGAAATTTTTAATTGATCAATATTTTATAGTAAAAGAACATTTGTTTTAATAAGATAATACTTGAATTTCAGTGTATCTGTACTTCAGCTGTTTATGGAGCTTCTCTGATTATGTCATCTTCATAAGATCCAGCTTACTCCTTAATTGTCACAATCAACTAGAGGCTTGATTGTTTCTAGATCAGCGCTGTAGATCTGAATCTAGATCTTGATAGATCTGTAGATCTAAATCTAGATCTAGATAGATCTGTAGATCTAAATCTAGATATAGATCTGTAGATCTAGATCTGCTCATTACGATCAGGCAGCCATGTAGGTTCACGGCGCTCACGCTTTAATGTATTCTTTTAGGTAAAGTTTATCATTGCTGTGCAATAATTTTTGCAGGTCTTAGCATGTTTTTCACAAACATTGACTTTCTATATAAATCAATGATGTAGCTGAGACGTAGCTACGCGCTAAATTCAGAATGAGGCTGCTATTAAGAGTTGCAGAAAAGGTTGATCTAAAATCAGTCCAAACAAGCTAATTCGAGAATAATGTTACAGGGGCCATACTTTCAAAACTCGCTAAGTGAACGTAAGTACTTACGCTCTATTTTCTTGTCTATGATTGGTGGATTTTGCTCGAAAGGCNGCAGTATTGGCAACATTTGTACATGCCCACACGTAAATGAACAAAATTGAGCTGGAGTTCACTGATGAGAAGATTTTGCAAAGAGGCTAGTGATTACGAGGGCATATTGATTTTAAAAGAATAAGTTCAAACCATTGACTCAGTAATGACGGTCTCAGTAAATGTTGACATTTGTGCCACGGACACAAAATATTCTGAGAATGAAGTATTAGAATAACACGAGGCGTAGCGAATAATTGAAATAGCTTCCTGTTGATCGAATGAAATGCAACGAAATTTTATGTTAAAAAATATTCACCGAGTTTGAGAAGCTGTTATGTGGAGCTAACGTTATTAAAATTAATTATGCTTTGTGAACAATTCAAACAATACAATGCTGATTGAAAATTATTATAAAAAGCAATATCATTTGGTACTCACCTTATAGCGATCTTCTTGCTCGACGAAGCACAAAGTTTCACTGTCCGGTCTGAGGCTAGCATCACGAAACCTCTTGAATATTCTTTTGTGCACAGACGGTGCCGATTTCGCATCATTCTGGGGTGACGCTTTAGTCCTAGATTTTCCGGATGAACTCTTATTTGACGCTGTAGTTTTGTTAGAAGATGTAGATGTTGTCCGGTTCCTATTTGTGTTTTTGTTCGATGAATTTGTTTTGGGGGTTGGGGAATCTCGCGATGGAGACGATCTGCTACAGTGATGGGTCTTGTTGATGTTATTGTTATAAGCCGTGGACGAATTTCTGGGAGCAGAAGTGCGTGGGCTTCCGGATCTTCCTGGTCGGTCGGTATTTTCATAAAGGTGAGTCGGGAACGTTTTCCTAGTAGGTGTCGTTGGGGGAGTGATGCCGTCCCTGGTCTTTTTCTGATCCATTTTACTCGGGCTTGAAGATGAACGTGCTTTCTCAGGAGAGCCATGGGTCCGATTTCCAGATGACGATCGGTGACTTTTTCGTAAACTGTCTTCGAAGTTTTCTCGTCTGTACGGACTCCGGGAGGTTTGCCCTCGCAATGAGTCGGTACTGGTAGTGGCGGCGTTATGTCGAACGTCTGCATCTCTAGACCGAGCACTTGGGCTGGCTGCTCGGCGTTCAAGAAGGCGTTCCGGGACGGCTGAAGGGACAGTTGATTTTCTGTAGATATTAGGGCTGGGGCTGCGGTACCTCGTTGACGGACTGTCGGCTCGTTTGTCCAATCTTTCCTGTACCGCTGAAGGAACAGTTGGCTTTCGGGAATAGTTAGGACTCGAGCTGCGGTATCTCGTAGATGGACTTTGGGTGCGCTCCTGGTGCCTCTCATGCAATGTAGGAGGTGTCTTTGACGTTTGTTGAACAACTGGACCTTGACTTCGATGTCCGAAAGTGGGGCTTTCGGCCCGTTTGGCCAATCTTTCTTGGATAGCAGAGGGCACACCATTCTTCCTTTGGACATTGGGACTAGGTGTTCGGTTACGGGTGCTTGAACTTTGATTAGAAATTTCCGCTCTTTCCGGAGCTGCCGAAGAAACGTTAGGCCGTCTGATGATATGAGGACTTGGGCTGCGACGGCCAGCAATGGGGCTTTCTGCCCTTTTTTCCAGCCTCTCTTGGACTGCTGTTGGAACGCTTGGTCGTTTATTGTATATGCGACTGTTCGGACTTTGGGGTCTGGAGGACGTAGGACTTTCGTTGCGTCTATTGGAGAAAGGCGATGATGGAGCTTGTTGGTAGCGAGGACTCGCAGGAGTCGTCCTAGAAGAAGCAAAGCCCCGAGCGTGCTGTGGAGGAGTGCCAGGGCCCGGGCTGAGTGGAGGTTTCTCTTGAAGAGCGCCCCACACGTCGCGCATGCGCTTGACGTTATCAGACGAGACATAACTGAAGCCACTGTAGCGCCGCTGTGGTTCTGGCTTCTGAGTGACGTACGGAGGAGCAACTTCCTTTTCAAGTGAACGTTCCCTCAGTCGATGGGGTCGGAGTGGCACTTGATTGGTAGTATGTGAGAGTGGAGTTTCTGGTAAGGTAAGCGGTTGGCTGGTTCCCCTCGTCCTACCCTTGGAAAAAACACTGCCCATGTCAGGCTGCAGAGACTCGTGCAAGTGGCATAGTAGGTCACTTTGTTTCTGAGAGACAAGTGAAGAGTGAGGGTCCCGAAGGTGCTCTGGCAACGATGGTCCTCTAGTTGCCGTGACGTCACTCTTCTCTGGCCAAGGCTCTTTTGCTGCCAAGGGGCGGACACAATCCGCTGCGTCAGAGTCGCAATGCTCCGCCCTAGAGCTGTACCTATTTGGTGATGCATTAGGGCGTTTTAATTGCTCAATAGGAAACGACAACCGTGCGTGAATGACTCCCTCGTCACCCGAAGTCTCCTCGTTGCTCGACTTCTTTTCATTCTCAAGCGAATCGGCTTCTAAACTCACATTAGATTCTGGAGATTCTCGTGTGTCTTTCGAAGACTGCCTTGAGTCTAAAGTGAGCCGTTTGCTGACGTACTGGCTTGATTTAGGTGCGGCTTGCGCGGGGCTATCGAGGTTGTTGAGAGTCGTCGAGGACAGCCTACGCGTGTGCTCGATAATGCGCTCAGCGTCTACAGCAATACCGGTTTTCGAGTGATCAGAGGCGTGCGTCGAGTCTGAAGCCCACGACTGTGGACGATAATCTGTGTGTCGAGACGAGCGCGGCGATCCATAAGAACGGTGATGCTCGACGTCCATAGTGGCAGCCTTCGGCTCGTCCAAGTCCTCCTCGTCTTCGTCGTGGGAGGAGAAGGTATCATCCTTCAGGAGGCATGACGGGTCTTTAGGCGAGTCCTGCTTTGGTGCGGATTCAAGGCGCGCGGTAGCATTGAAGGCCACGCCTCCTGCATCTGTAGGTGTGGGTGAGTCAGCCAGCTCACTGCTGCTGCAGCCGCTCTGCTGATGGCCGGCGTCGAGGTCACTAGTGATACTTTCACCAGCTGCGTCTATAAACACATCTCTCGCACACTCGCTTTTATTTTTGTCTTGTACGGCACTTGAGTTCACATTTTTGCGTTGAAAAATATTGTCAGCTTTAACGGATTCTTTGTTAGATTTCACACCAGGAATGACGTTCTCAACGTCGGATGATTGTTGGTGTGGGATACGTCGTGTCTGGTAAGTGGGATGAGATCGTGTGGGAGTCACATCAGCTGAGCTGAGGTGCGTCTGGTCACGGCACTTTGAGCTGCACAATTCACTCTCCGATGCTCGGGATTTTTTGCTCTCGTCGGAACGAACGCTACAGCTGCTGCCAGCGCTAAGATCGTCACAATACTGGCTTTGGCTGCCGGGAAGAAGCACTGGACTTTTATAAGAGCTTAGGGAAGGTCCACCACCTACAGTCACGGTACCAATGCCACTACTGCCGCCATTGCGCCTACTTTTGGAGTTGCGGTCTATCGCCTCGCCTCCCGCCACCACCATAGGCACAACATGAACTGAACCTTCACCTGCAGCATCGGACAGAGACGCTCGGGTCGTGGGGGACATTTGCCGCAGGTAGTGTTCCTGCAGCGCTTCTACAGGACTGTTTTTCCTAAGATTTTGCAGCAGACTTTTCGAGTCGCCATCATGACCATTTATGTTCAGATGAAGATATGTGGGCCTGTGGCGCGCACCACCGGATGTTGTTTGAGTGTTGTCCGCTGGTGCTGCAGAAGGGGGGGTTGGTTTGCCAAGGTTGTTCTTGCTGCTCGTAAAGCGCCAAGGCGTGCATAATTTGGCGTCCGTGCATGGCTGGGGAACAGCTTCAACAAGCGGAGAAGAAGATGAAAAAGTAGAAAAACGTGGGGAGTGTTGATCGTCATCGCGGTGCTTCGGTTTAGGCGCCGTTTCAGGCGTAATGACGGGTGTGGTTGTGGGAGTTGCGTCATTATTGTCGCTTTGAGTAAACGAATTTAGATTTTTCTTCTCGACTTCAATGAGGCTGCGCTTTATCTTCTCCTGAAAAAAAAATCAAAGTAGGATGATATCAAAAATCTAAAACACGTCAACAATTACTGGAAATTAATCAGTCTGCACGCGTCGAATTTTTAATCTGAAAACTGAAGAGAGTGAATCACATATAAAACACACAACAATTAAAATTATTTTACTTCGTACAGTTTTTGCATCGTGCATTGCAGTAAATTGGTGCGGTTTTCTTGATGGAAGAAAGAAGAAATTCAACCAAAAACAAATTTTGTGTGCATCTAATTGAATAATACTATTCTACATACATAATATTTTACATATTTTCAGTGCCAGCTTGAAAGTAAAAAATAAATAGTAATTTATTTTAGTCTTGACTCATCTATCACGACCAAGCCTAATGAAGAATGTTTCGGCATTAATATTATTATGAATTGAAATAATCTTCATTTCGAAAAACGCGAACAAAGCCGATAGAGCTTTTGGCATGAAGCATAATTAATGCTTAATCAAGATTTCAAGTTGAACAACTGTAATACCCCAGGCTGACTTAGTATTTGAGATATTTGTATAGAATATGAGTAGAGAGCGCGACAAATAACGTGGTAGATTACTCACATATACGTATGATTGCGTTGGAATTATTGCGATTACAACTACGCTCTATAAAGTGCTGAAAATAAGCTAACTAGGGATAAGATAAAAGGGATAAAATAAGCTACGCTCGCATCGTAAGAATGTAATAGAATGAAAATAAGCTGCTCGAAAAAAACATCGAGAGATTATTTTTACATCCTGTACAATCGAATCTCGATCAATGCTTGTAGCCTCTCACTGCAGCAATGGCTCCGAGTGATATGTGGCACTTGGCATGCGCAGTCACACTCGAGCACGGCAACAAAATACCACTAAGAACAAGACGTTGCATTAAAACCTGCAGATTGAACACTGCGACCTGAGTTGCTAATTAATAATTGGTGCAAGCTGGAGATAGAGCCTAGATTCACTTTTATGATAAGGAAAGTTCAGTGATGATCATTGCTGTAACGTTTCAAGATGGCAAAACTCTACTCGAAATTCAATGTGATAATTGTGATACAAGAAGCTATAGTCGTGGATATAATGCGAGAAGGCAATATTTGCTTGTAAAGAAGTTGATGCGATGGACTCTGGATAACACTGCTTACTTTTCCCAATAAGAGATCACAAAATAAACGGTAAGGATGTTAATCCCTTAAATTTTATAATAACTTTTAAGCGATTAGCTTGCTTTAAATGATATGCGATGGAGATCGGCATCTGTCGATCAAAAATACATGAATCTTGCGACTTTTTCTTTATAAAATTATATAATTATACAAAGGGCCGAAATGTTAATTTCTCAAGGGCCAAAAAAGAATTTACTTCGTTTATAGCCAAAATAAAAACCTTGATTTTTCGAGTACCAAAAATAAGTCAATACGTCGAAAATAACATCAATTTTCTGTTAATAATAAAGTAACTAATTAGACATACAGGTTAGCTATTCTGAATGCGTTAATATTGCAGTATGAATTGCTATCAATGTTACGAGAATGTCCACCCCTCAAAACGAGGAAAACGAGGGAAACTTGCTCTATAAAATGAAAAAGTCCCAATTAAAAACTGAGGAGCAGTTTTAAAGGGATGTTCGTGATTGTGGCAATTCTTGTTATTAAATAGCGAAAGAGTCTACTTCACCGCGCAGTTTAAAATGAAATATTTATTCGATTAACTCTAAAAGAACTGTATTTATGATAAATACTACTCACATTGATTTATTTATACGTTTTTATTTGCGTAGATTTTCTATTAATAATATTGTCTACTCACAGAAGTCGCGAAGTCACACGAGATTTTGTCGTCGCTCTCAGCCGGCGAAGAAACCTCGGCGTCACCAGCAGCTGGCTGTAGACAGAGCGAGAATACCTTGAATTATTAAACTATTGAGTACTCGTGATAAAGTTTATGGAGTAAAATAGAATAGAATGGAATAGAATTGTCGGCACTGAAGAAATAGGCCCATGACCTGTTGCCAATTTTTGTACTTTTGGTGACTTGATTTACAAGGGATCCGGCCTTTGGAACCCGATCTTTCCATATCTCGGCGAGAAGGTATTATTGCACGTCATTTGCATTTTCTTCGATTATGCCTTCAAATGCACATAAAGCAATATGTTATTGCACGTAATTCGCATTTTCTTCGATAATGCTTTTAAATACACATAAATCAAAACGTAAGAGAATGCATGTAAACTCAAATTTGAAAGCAAATAACAATGGAGATAAGCCTCATGGTATGAAAACATGTGGGCTCAAACAATGCTCGATATTATCAGTAAATTTCAATGAAATAACCACTAATTACTTCTATTACCAACGATGATTACGAGAAGATCATGCAAAAGTCGTTCTCAGAATAGGTTACAGGAAATGCCTGACAGGCAATCTGTTCGCTAGGCTACACCCATGCATGAAGCAGGCCGTTGTGTTGACTACAACAAATTTATTTACCAAGCATGAGAAGAATGCGCATATTGGAGCTATCTTTGAATTAATTCCATGAGCATTAGCCAGTATATGGACTTGTGCATGAAAGTCGTACAAAAATAGAAACAATATTGAATACGAAGTTAGATCCTTAGACGCTAGCTCAAGAGTTAACTGACAAGAAAAAATATAACTCAGTACTCACTGCAGTGAGTGACAGAGAGCGCATTTTATCGTCGACGAAAACTTGAGGTCACGGACGGACGGACAGACAGTTATCAGGGCTCGGAATAGCTGCCTAACCGCCCCACTTGAACGGGTTTTATTAGCGAACGTTCTGCACGATGCTGTTACACCAAATTAGAATAAAATTGTCAAGGTTAAAATAATTGTTTGAGCTGCGACAGTTCCCAAAATAGATAAATTATCTACAGCTACAGCTATATTTACGTACAGCTGCAGTAGGCAAAATAGCGTCAAAGGTAAGGGTGCTAGAATTAATGCCATTCTAGTAGCATCAATTCTAGTAAGGTGCTAGAATTGTGAATGCTTGAGCTGTTGAGGCAGCTTTGATACAGACAGCTGCCACAATATGGATGTATTTCACACTGCTACAGAATTCTTGCTGTAACAGCCGTGAAATGCATTTCTAACAGCACTTTATTGAAAGCATCACTTTTTAAATCGTGAAGTTAAAAATGCAAAGACTGAAAGGCTCTATTTCATAAAATTTCATTATTTCTACGGTATTTTTATTATTCATTGCGTGATTTAACACGTTGACTACGTATTGGTACATATGCGTACCACGAAATGTATTTCTCCAGGAGGTAGTGGTACATAATTCAGGATTCCTAAAATCGGCCAAATCCGAGAACAAAAATGGCCAAAAAGGCCGATAATTCAATGTATACTAGTTTATTTGTAGGTTCCGCTATAAAAATTCAATTTATTTACTTTTTGCAATATTTAAAGTTTAATTAGGATGTACCCCTATCATAAATTTTAGCCGGCCAACGCAATTGAGAAAAACTAAATCACGGAATTTGTCCGGAAAAAATGACCGTCTGGCAACGCTGCTTAAAAAAAGTACAAAAAATGAAATAGTAGTACAAGATGAAGCAATCGTAGTCAACGTGTTAAGACATATTAATAGCTCAACCTGTACAATCGAATCTCGATCAATGCTTGTAGCCTCTCACTGCAGCAATGGCTCCGAGTGATATGTGGCACTTGGCATGCGCAGTCACACTCGAAACAAGGGATCCGGCCTTTGGAACCCGATCTTTCCATAACTGACGATTGATTGAGATAGCTGCTGGACTTATTGCCTGGTCCGTAATTTGCTAGGCATTTTAAGACTGAACATATGCTCCTGCATAGCTTCGTCTAGTCTTATTGCCTGGTCCGTAATTTGCTAGGCATTTTAAGACTGAACATATGCTCCTGCATAGCTTCGTCTAGTCTGTTTTGAAGATGTTCATACTCGGAGCGTCAACGATGCTATCAGAGAGGCTGTAAAATGAGGGCTACTGCGAAGCCAAGTTTAGAATTAAAAATTCCTGCCAGAAGTCAAGTCCCTATTTTGTGAAATAATTGTCGAAATTCCCTTCTAAACTCGTTTTAACACAAAATGTATTTAGATTTATTGCTGACAAATATTAGTCATTGGACCAGCTAGTAGCAAACTAGTGGCAATTATAAAGGAGTATTAATGGGCTGTAGAGCTTCAAATGAACCTAAGTACTGACCTTCAAATTGGCAAAACTGTGCACGCCGAGATTCTGGAGGCCCATTTTCGGGTCCCCGGTGCCGGGGAAGGGCAGGTCCGGTGGTCCATGAGGTGAGCTGACCAAGAACTTGGGTGTTTGACCCAACTCAGACGAGAGCTCCTGTAGTCGCGATAAGACATCTTGCAACGTGTTGCTGTAATCTTTCCAGCAGTCCTTGAACAAATCGTCTTCCATGTACGACTGCCGATGCTCAACTCTTACTTCTTTCCCAAGAGGAGGAGACGATGGGGTGCTTTTTGCCATTTTCCACGTAGCGTTGCGGTAGCCGGGAACGGGGGTTTCACTAATGCTTTGGTCCAGAGGAGCAAGAGGCTTGCAGGGTTCAAGAGGGACACGTTTTGATTTAGATGTTAAAGGTGGGCTTGATGGGCTGTGAAGGCTAGCTAGTTCTGAAGGCAGCGTCGGCATAGAAATCTTCCTTTTCGAGCTCGGATTATTGGGCTTTGTCAGGAGCTGCTCTACAGGAGAGTCCGGAGGTGTGAAAGTTTTCTTCGGTGTTGTGTACTTGAAAGTCGAGAAAAGTGGTGAAGACAACTTGGCTGATGTATCTGTATCATCTTTCGATGATAAAGTGCTGGTAGTGGACAGCCCACTCTCTGATGAATTGCAGTTCATATCGGTCATGACTTTAGAGCGATCAGTTAATGTGTCAAGGCCCTTGCGATGGCCAACGCGCGAGTCCTTCATGTCATGTTTTCGAGCAGTCAGTTCACTTGTGATTGGCGATCCTTTCATTGGAGGATCATCAGGGACAGAGTCTTTAAATTGTATTTCTTTTTCCTTAGCTTTTGGTAAGTCACCAAAATAGTAGAAGCTCTTCGGGCTAGCTTTTCGCTCAACATGCTCACTTTCAAATTGAATATTGTCCTTTTCAGATCTCTCCTTAACGAACTTCGAGGCACTTCCTTGGTTGACAATGACTTCATGACAATCCTTATCATTGGTTCCACCGTTTTGAGATTTATAAGTTTCTATATGATTTAACCGATTGATACAATTTACATTGTTCTGCTTGAATGGAGCTTCGTTCTCTTTGTTAGTGTTAGCCATTTTGTCTTCTTCCCTTTGAATTTTGATGTCAAAAACTTTTTGTTTTCCCTCTTTGGGGGTTCTAATATTTGGCATTTCCTTAGTTTCCATACTAACTGGGATTGTAATCTCATGAGCCGCTTCGTATTTTGAGTTCCTTCGAGCACTGCGACTCTGTCGAGCATAACCAACATTGTCATCCACCGCGTTGGAGTCAGCTGCATTCTTGCCCAGGAACTGATCACCCTTTTTGGACGAAAGGTTTTCGAATCCATTGATAAAAATGGATTTGCTTTGAGCTTTTCCATGCCCTTCTGAAGCTCTTTCAAAAGTTTCATTGGAGCTGTTGTTCGAATCGACCCCTTTTGACCCAGTATTTATTTCGATCCTCAGGTTTGTTTCTTGTTTGCTGCCCAGAGAAGAACCAGGACCTTTTTGTTCACTAGACTTTGAGGGAGAAGTTGTTTGATTGTTCTCCTCAGCCAAACCATCGCCTTTACGCACACGCGTCTTCGGCCCTACAGACGATCCGTCTGTTCCAGGACCTTTTTGTTCACTTGGCTTCGGAGGAGAAGTTGTTTGATTGTTCTCCTCGGCCGAACCATCGCCTTTACGCACACGTGTCTTCGGCCCTACAGACGATCCGTCTGTTGCTTGCGTGCGTTTACTGGGTAGATTTTTGTTCACTTGGGTTCGGAGGAGAAGTTGTTTGATTGTTTTCCTCGGCCGAACCATCGCTTTTACGCACACGCGTCTTCGGCCCTACAGACGATCCGTCTGTTGCTTGCGTGCGTTTACTGGGTAGTGGACTTGCGGGCTCAGATGTGGACGGACGCTTACGACGGCATCTTCCTCGTTCTTCATCGACGGCTTCATCTCCCTCCATCGTCACAGGAATCACACGCACGTCATTCTGCCGAGAAACACAACTGCTTAGAAGTTTTGTTTCCGATCAGGTAACTTTTAAAATGATTCAAAAGTGATAAGCGCAATTAGTCGTTATAACTCGATTGCATATATGAGAAATGTTTAAACAAAACAGTACATATTTGTCGTTAGGGAACTAGAAAAAATATGTTTTGACATACCTATTGAAGGTAATTAAACTGAAATTTGGTGCTAAATTAACGAAAGAAGCTTACGTTACGTTATTGAGAAGCTGTAGCGTAATTGCATGAATATTCATTAGGAGCAAAGATGTTGATATGCGTCCAGAACACTATCAGCTCCTTAAAAAATGCCTGATGAATTCACCAAGGGATTTTATAATAAAAAATTTGTTAAAATATATGGTATGAGTATAAAGATTGCAGAAATGAAGAACTTATACAGTTAACAAGTAACAGAATAATGCCCACGCTCCCTCTTGTCAAGTTAAGAATTGTTTCGGGAGCGGAAACAAGCACAAACGAGTAGCTTGTAAGCAACAATACACTGCCATCTGTTGTACCGTACTGTAAGCAACAATACACTGCCATCTGTTGTACGTATTGTAAGCAACAATACACTGCCAAAAGTCTTGGTGGAAGTGGAGGCGCCTGATGCCACCGAGTCCGTGTCACTTTCTTCCTCTTCAGCTTTGGTTTTGTCTTGCCGCGTTTTCTTGCGGCGTTCCTGGTTCCGGTCAAATTTGCGGATGGCCGGATTTTGCAAACTGACGTCCACTTTGCCGCGTACGGACACCGTGCCTCCAGCCGTGCGCACGGTCACGTCTCCGCCTACAAATTCTCGGACGTCCATCACCAACTGGGATGAAAATGTAAAAAAAATTATAACAATAAGACTAATTAAATGTGATTACATTATATTTTTTTTGTGAGGTCAACGATATGTCTAATTTCAGAGCGATCAGGTGATCGACTAATAAGTACATATCATTCCTTTGTTTTAATAGAACTGATCAGATTTAAATCGGCGATTTATAATTTCTAATCATTTACAAATCCCCGGGGAATATTATTATCATCACCGATAATTTGGAAGCCGTAATATAAAATTATTTTGCGCCTTCCGACAGGGGAAAATTTAACTTTTTAAAGGAGTGAAGTATTGGAAAAATCTGCGTGAAAACATATTCAACTTCGCAGTGTGTTTATTGTCGTGAATTAAACTCAAATCCTTTATAAATGTCACTGAATACTCCGACTCGAGATGAAAATCTTGCAATACTAAAAGAAAGAAGAATTTATTTTCGGCTGTCAAACTATTTTTTCGGATGTCAATTTTTGCCAAACTATTTTGATCGTCTGCTTTTTTTGCCTACTGCTTTGATTGACGGATAAAATAAAAAAATATCATGAAATATATACACAAAATGAGACAATTTTAACGACGGCCACAAGCGCCTCCACCCTTCATGTCTTTCGCTCTCGTCGCTGAACTCAGAGCGGGAATGCGCTTGCAAGTTATTTTTTGTACCCTAAACGCACTTTATATTCGTTACCTTCGTGTTTGAAGTTGCAGTTATGAAAGATATATCAGGATTGCTTACTCTTACTCACCTTATATTTGTTGGCTTTGTTTTAAAAGTTGCATTTACGAGTGAAATATTAGAAATGTTTTATATTTATCACCGTGTATTTGTTGGCTTCGTCTTTGAAGTTGCAGTTATGAAAGATATTTCAGGATTGCTTTATCTTATTCACCTTATATTTGTTGGCTTCTCTGAAGTTACAGTTACGAGTGTGATATTATAATTGCTTTCTATTAATCACCTTGTATTTGCTGCCTTCGTCTTTGACGTTGCAGTTGTGAGTGAGATATAAGCATTGTTTTATATTAATCACCTTGTATTTGCTGCCTTCGTCTTTGAACTTAGTGGACTGAGTGGCATAAGACATTCTGGCGGCTCTGAGGGAGCGGTAGAGGGAGTGGTAGCCGGGCGTCGCCTGCCCCTCGTCTGCCTTGTCGCTGCTCGGCTCCTGCCTTGTGGCGCGCTCACCGAGCCAACCGTGGTTGAAACTGAAACAAAAATACGTTGTTAGCAAGCAAGTTTTTTGTTCAATGAATTTTATAATGATTTACATTATCGATTTAAGTTCAATAAATTTTATAATGATTTACATATCGCTGCGCGCTCACCGAGACAACCGTGGTTGAAAGTGAAAATGAAAATACGTTGTTAGCAAGCAAAGTTTTTTGATCAATGAATTTTATCATGAATCACATTATCGCTTAAAGTATTCAATGATGTTTACAGATAATTTTAAATTGTTTGAACGCTTGAACAACCGTGGTTGAAACTGAAATAAAAATACCATGTTAGCAAGGAAAGTTCTTTGTTCAATAAATTTTATAATGATTGACATTATCGCTAAGTATTCAACGATGTTTAAAGATAATTTTGAATTGTTTGAACGCTTGAATGCAAACTAAACCAAGGCAAAAGTGTTGCCATGTAGCTGGCAGTTTCATAATACATTAATATAAATTGTTCAGAATAACAAAACCTAATGAAAAATTATTGAAAAAAATTACTTTTAGAACAGTGAAAATATTGAGGTACCTTGGAGGTACGCACGGCATGAGATGCTGTGCTCGAATGCCTGCGACAGTTAATGTTAATAAAATATTTTAATTGATATGATGAAGTTCGGGCACTAGAGAGAATAACTTAGAAAAGTTAACCTAATCACGAAAGTTTCTGTTAAACCCTGACAGAGTCTCCTGCGGATGAAATAAAGAAACTTTATAATTCTGAAGAAGAGTTCATGTCGTAAGAAGATTAGAAATGTAAATAAAGACGCGTATATAGCTGAAAAACTTCGCGGAATTGTTTCCAGCTTAATTATCGCGCAGGCAAGTTTGTCAGGAAGAGTTCGTACGTATTGAATAGTTCGTTCTGATGGGTGAATAATTTTCGTACAAGTTTGATAGGAATATATACGAATAAGGTGTTTTAAAATGTAAAGTGTAATTGAAAGGAAATAACTAAAAAACCGACCTAGGTATTTACATAGTAAGAACCACGATACATTTGTTTCACTACTTGAAGACCGCGACAAATTTTGTATATTTTAACCAAAGCATTCACTAAATACTGTCTATAAATTATCAGAACAAACTATATAATATTTTGAATAAATTCGATTTTCTACGTTTTATATTATCAAAACAAAATTATTTATATTTTGAATAAATTTTTTTTCTACGTGTCGAAAATGTTCTTAAATAATGTGTAGAACTGACCGGTCGATATGTTCCTAAATAATGTGTAGAACTGACCGGTCGACGATACGGCGTACTATCTACAAATTATCAGAAAAAAAATTTATTATATTTTGAATACATTCTTTTGTTCCACTTGTCAAAAAATGTTTTTAAATAATTTATTGAACTGACCGGTCGACAATACGGCGCACGGCGCAGCTGTAGTCGCCCCAGGCGTCCGCGAAGAAAGGGTCCTCGAAGAAACCACCGCGCCGCGACACGGAGAGCGGCCGTACGCCTCCTCTGCTCTCACACACCATCCTGACAATTGTACGGCACTGGGTTACTCATATGACGTGTCTTATTCATATTAAGAGTGTTATTCATATTCCGTGTCTTATACATATTACCTGTGTTATTCATATTGTGTCTTATTCATATTACGTGTGTTACTCATATTATGTGTCTTACTCATATTGCGTGGGTTATTCATATATTCATATTACGTGTGTTATTCATATTGCGTGGGTTATTCATATTACGTGGGTTACTCACGTTACGTGTGTTATTCATATGTGTTTTATTCATTGCTGGGGGACTACTTCTTAATCATTTCTCAAATGGTCAGGAAAGGTTTTCAGTACATACATATAAGACACGGATTATTCACAATAATAAATTTATTCATTTTTCCTAACATCATATTACGCAAACATAAATAATAAATTAACCAAATTTTATGCAAAAAGTGACCATATTGATTTTACTCGAATATATTAATTCGAGTTTACGATGCAAGCGCCGATACATGGTTCAAATATTGGAGTCTTGAGCAATGACCTTCGGTGAGGAAAAATCGATTCTTCCGACAGCGATTAAGAAATATCTTTCCGCAATTAAAAAGGCGGCAGAAGCGTCTTCAAGGATGCTTGCGGAACAGCAAAACAGGATGGACCTTATGACAGAGGATTTTAATCATGCGAGATAAATGTTGAATGATTATAAATCTCAGAAAAGTCCTTCCGCATACATGCACACAAGTCGTTTGAATCCGATAGGACGAATAGTCGTCAGGTTTAGCAAAATAGCAATGAAGGTTCCATACAAGTCACTGGATGGCATATGCCAGTGGTTCCCAAAGTGGGCGATATCGCCCCTCCTGGGGGCGATGGAAAGATCTGTGGGAGCATTTGGAAAGATCTGTGTTTAACCTTTCTCTTTAAAAATTACAGCATACTAAATATCAAGAAAGAGGCGTTTGTTTTATATATGTGTCTGTCGGCGGGGGCGCTATAGATTCACTGGGGAGCCAAGGGGGGCGCCAGCCTGAAAAAGTTTGGGAACCACAGGCATATACTAACAAAAGGGCAATATATGCTAGTGGAGCGGCAGTTTGTGGGGTCGTGGTTGAATGGTCAGTTAAAACAAACTATTTATTAGTAAATATCAATTTGAAAAAAAGGTGTTATAAAGAGATTTTTACTCTTCAACGATGCAGTTTTGAAATGGCGTTGTGCATATGTAGGCTGGCACTTACATAGCCAGAAAATTCATATTTAAATCAAAATAAATGTAATTCTTGAATTAAACGAAATTCGTTTCTTAACAACTGGTAAAAATAAAATGCTGAATATAGGATTAATAATTACAGACTTTATATTGAAAACGAAAAATTGCGAAATCTACCAGCATTGCGAATGAAAATATAGATAGTTAGGTATCAAGATTATATTTCTGATTTAAATGGTGATCGGCGAACAAGTTAAGTCGGCTAACATGTTCTGTACATGCAACAGGTGATCTGGTTATTTAATACAAAATGATTCAATAATCACGAAGTGAGCAAAGAGTTTCCTTCGAACAAAGCCACGCAAGGCCGATCAGGGCTCAATCAGAAGGTTCGTTCGTATCTACTCGATTATTTATCCATTAAAACAGCGACTTGGAAAAAAATGACATTAATAGTAGAGTGAAGGGTTTTGAAGAAAGATAATGCAAAAGTTCATAGGAGAGTTAATGTTGATAGACAAAGACTTTATCTAAAAGGTACTCTACTGCACGCATGGGGTCGCAAAAACGTGCAAACATTTGCTGACCACCAATCGAAAACAACGCGTTTTCTCATAGACATAATGGATGTGTTGCGGTCAGTCAACTCTGTATCCCAGGCTACCACTCCCTTGTTGACGTGAGGTCAACAATGCGAAGCTTTTGACAGCAGCGCCCGTAATTCTGGCCCGCGTGTAAGGGACACGATAAATCAGGGTCTAAAACACTCGCCTTAAAAAGCTCGCAATTTTAAAAATGGAACAGTTACTTTTAGATTAGTTATTCTGAAACGTTCACGTCATTTTTACTCAAAATTGCTGAAAGAAATTGAGAACAATAATATTAATGATTTTTCACCTAATGTGTAGTCACATCGTTCAGTATTGGACTGAATACAAATTAAGGATTTAGCTTGTAAATAAAGATTTTAATTCGCATTCTTTAGTATTTGATAAATTGTAGCCGGAGTCAAGCTGAGATTTACTTGTTAGTCGGATTTGTCGCGTAATTAGGACAAGCACGCACGATCTTTTAGTTGAACTCCTTTGAATGCGAAATTTTGTTTCTGAAAACTATTCTATTCATTTTGCATGCTCGCACGTATAAAATTTGAATTTTGATGGAAGAATAAATTTGATAAAATAAATTAAATGTAAGGCATAATACGCATTAAATATTTACTTATAAAATACTTGGAAGAATTGTTGCACAACAAGAAATATGAAAGTTTCTGAACCATTTTCTTCAAGAAAAGGACCGGAGTCACAGCTGGGTAATCCCACGAGGGCAGTTGCATCACCTGCACGCTCTGCTCGTCACACACTCATGTGCTCGCAGCGTCAAGACTGCACCCTAACAAAATTTAGAGTCGCCCCAGCTTCTGGTAATCCAAATCAGAAGCTGCCGCGTCTGTAAATTTTTACTGGGTAAACCCCTCCAGCTAGTGCATTGCTATGTAGTGCGCAACATGCGGGTCTGAAAATTTTTACTGTGTAAACCCCTCCAGTGCATTACTATATATGTGGTGCGCAACATGCGGGGCTTTACACCATCTTGAGTTAATAAATTCTAAAGCTCAGGTCATTCTGTGAGACTCAGAGATATCATTATCTTTGACTTCTCAATCACACCTCGAAGATACAAAAATTTCCAAATTACTAAGGAATCAAATCTGCATGTGAGCCATGCAATTTTTGTCATTGGCAGTTGAGAAATCTTCAATTACAATTATTGTCGCAATAGCTGTTGAAAATAACTTACAAATAGTAACCAATGAGATTTTCTTGTCGTTTGCTCCAGAATATATTTTGTATTTTTCAGTTAATATAGTAAATATATACTACATGGATCGGAACATATCAAGTGTACAACGTAGTACTCGATGGATTCACACCAATCCGTTATTCTGAACATTAAATTTGAATGAATTAATTTTTTATAGTTAACTAACATGACTTGTACCTGTGTTCTAGGTTTTGAACTGACGATGGAGCTGGACTCCGAAACGTTTTCCTTTATAAGAAATGGTGAAATTTTTGGCTATTTTCTTTGCTTTTAAATTCCTGGTAAATTTGCGACTTAAGCAGCCAAGTGATTTTAATACTAACATGACCTGTTTTGATTGCAACTAAGTCGCGATCGTTGCGTGGGCAGAAGACACCTCAAGACAATCCGGATATCGAAGCTATCAAGAGTTCATCAGCAGGCGGGTTTACCGGCCGACCTTCTAAATCGAAGCAAGTAAGCTCTGTTGCATCGGTTTTTATAGCGCGCTAAAATAATAGCGCAATGCATGCTAATGAGCCCCATGAACAACTTGTGTCTTGTTCTACCCACGCAAAACAAGACCACAGTGCCACACGAGAGCCTTATGCTGCTCTTTATTTATTGTAATGACACGTTTAGACATTAATTAACTTTTTCAGCCTTGTCGATTGTTAAAGTATTTTTTTTTACGAGAAAGGTTCATGGAGAGGGATCATGGGTCCAAGTGCGTTGAAACTTGTTTACTCACTCATTGCTTTAATATCGGATGGAAAAATACTTCAAGTTTGAGATATATAATGACAGTGCCCTAAAACTGGTGACAGCTAACTTTGGTAAGGTAAAATAAATTCGTTTACGAAAAATATCATACGAACCTACAGCATGGTCACACTACTAGAATTTTACGTCGTTAGTGAACCTTCTCTTCTGCAACTGAACCTCAAAAGGCTTAATAAGTTGTCTTACCAAAAAAGTATAATAGAACATCCGTCATTAACAGGAATAACTTTTTAGCGCATTTTCTCATTTATGGAAAAAATGCACTATTGTGCTCTCCAAGTCCGTCTGTCCGTCCGTGATCTCAAGTTTTCGTCGACGAGAAAATGCGCTCTCTGTCCCTCACTGCAGTGAGTATACCGAGTTATATTTTTTTCAATTTCATAGACTGGTAACATTGAAGACGATCAGAAACATTTTCGGTGTCTTCATATTGGAACTACGCTGAACAAACTATGATGAGTGGGTGGAGTGACGAGCTCTCGTCTAGCATAATAGCTTTCGTTCCGATCGGGCAACAGACGAGAGGAATTTTAAGAGCATGATAACAAAAGAACAATGAAATCCGTTCGAACAAAGCATTCATGTACAATTATGCTCTCTAGGGGAATAGATAGCTTTGTTGTACCGAAGAAACGAAAGACGTGACGTGCAATAAATAAATAGTACAGAACATTAAGTATAGAGAAAATAAGAGTGAACTGAAGCTATGAATACAACAGTTTAAACGATTATTTGATATAAACATAGACAATAGTCACATTTATGGAAATTGAAAACAATCAAGAAATAGGAATAAAATATTGATGTAGAAAGCAAAAGATGTATGAAATATTGCTCACGCTGTTTATTTGCAATTAAATTGGAGTTCGGGAGAAGGTAAAAAAATATTTTACATAACGTGACATGAACCATGGAGCGTCAGCACCGCAACAATAGGAATATTAACTGATTAATTTGAACTATTTTTGCGCTAGTATGATTGTTTCTTATAATCCTTTGGTTAATGTTATATCATAAACCAAGCTGCATCTGGCCTAATAATTTTTGTTCGTCCTGAAACTAAATTTGTATTAAAAGTTGAGGAAAGCCTTAGCGCGTAATGATGGGCGCCGCAGATTGAGTTGCTGGTACACCGTGGAAATATTTACACAGGCTACACGAATAATAAAATAACTAATAATAAATAACTAATAAATTACGCGACAAATCTGTGGCTGTGTCACCT